ACGAGGCTAAAACAGTACATTATCACGAATACGAATTTTTCATTTTATTAGTTTAGTTCGTCGCATTTGGAGATCGACGGTTGTCCCAAAGACGATCTTCAGACGTTCTAATATCCATCGAAAGCAGAAGGAGAGAACGTGTTGGACGATCTAAACTCATTCAGACGAACTTGACTGAACCAGACGCCGAACTTTCATGAACTTTAAATTCTAAGAGCAAACGAGAAACCGAAACTTTTGAGTTTGTTCATGAAATAGTGAGTTAAAACTCCCTAAGTTTTGTTCGTCTCATGAAACGTTCAACGCATGGCTTAGGCCTAAGATACTTTGTAAGTTTCCTACTTTTCTTTATACGAAAATAAGAGTGAAAAACCTTAACAAATTGCCTGAGAAGGTTTATTAAAGCTTCTTTGCCAAATGGGTTTGTTACACTTGCATAGAACGCCACAGTTGTATATTTTGTAGACAAAACCGTCACCCATCTTTGCTATAAAGATAAAGGATATTAGCCTTGTAAGGGACAGTGGCGCCACGCGCTGTTGCGGTGAACAGTGAAATTGGCACTGTAATCTTGGTCAAAATATTTTAAGTTTTCTTTTGTAGGTACTGCCAGGAAAATGGCAATCGTGGGACGAAGTGACGACCGCTTTGCAGATGGAGGGATTTTCTGTCGCACTTTGTAATACCCGTCACACTTTGCAATAACACTTCTTGTCCTTTGAAATAAACAAGCTGTCGCTTGATATGGATGGTCCGAGGACAAGTAAACCCAATAACAAGTGTCATCACCGACAACAATAGTAATAATAATGATGATGATTATGATCAGTTAATTTTCGGCCGTTATCTTTAGAAGACAAAGTGCTTTGGAAATCGAAGCGCTTTGGAAATGCAATTTCACCTCATAGTAGTTTTAATATCATGTTTACAAGTGACAGCCTCTCTTTCATTTCCACATGAACAGCAGTAATTAACAATGCATTTAAAATCAAACTCAGTTAAAGGAAATATGAAACGAGGTTTAATCTCAAGAATCTCAATTTCTTTTTTAAAAAAAAGATCGAGTGTTTTTAAAATTAATCGCTTATTTGTTAAAGAGGACCAAAATGTTTACAAAACCGCTAACAAGAGCGCCTATATGCATACTGATCAAATCCTTAATTCTTTCTAGCAATCGGCTAGAGCTATCCCCATGATCTTTGACACACGTTTTTAAAAAAGTTGGAACTACTATGAAGTGAAATTGTACGTCAAAAGCGTTTAAAATAACCGCCGAACATTAAGATTGTCTAGTTTTTACCGTATGTCTAACTATAAAAACTTTATTCCAAAATATCTCTATAACGCTCTTACAGATTTTGCTTAAACTTCACGAACATCGAGGTGGCTATTGGAGGGAAAAGCTTCCACGAGATATTTTGAAAAAACAGTTCCCAGTGCCAAGAAATAAGGCTGCAAGTAAAATAGGTAATGGCGTCATTTCGTTGCTATGACAACTCCGATGTCGATGTAGCCCTGATCATACAAATTTTCATCTTTATCTAATACAGCTGCGGTGGTAATTTTCAAAGTTTTTGTTAATGGCGATGTAGTTTATGCTAAAACGTGGGGGATATTGACCCGCAAAAAATCCTATCGAGCCACCTTAATTTGGAACTGCATACCAGTTTCCATCAAAATACTTGATAAAAATCTGTTTAAAACTAAATTAAAGAAAACCCCGGTTTTGAGATCTTAGAAAACGAAGATAGTTCATTGATGTTTCCAATATAAAACTACATTACTGAAAGCCATAATACCTGTTAACTAGAAACACGCGAAGCAGAGGCCGGTAAGGGCCAGAAGTAACAAGAAAGGGAAAGATGTTTTGCTTTTCCCACGCTAATCACACTTTTCACACTTTCTCTTCCTGCTAGCCGTCGTACGAAAGGACATTCCTCTTTGTTATGAAGTTAAAGTTATATAACCCCTCACTGAACCCCATTCAACAAGCTCAACTCCAGCGGGTTACAATAAAACGACTCAAACGTCGTGTATGGCCCAACAACTTGTCAATAACATTTGTGGAGGACACTCCGCCCTTAGTAAAAGAACCTAAGTTAAATTTAAAATGACAATCATTACACTAATATAACAAGCCAAAAAAATAATAAAAATGTCAGGGATAAAGTGAGGGTCAGTGCGACGAATACGGCTATTGTGAGGTTTAAGCGAAATCTTTAAGCGAGTTATCAAAATATTTTGGGGCGAAGTTTTTATGGTTAGAAATACGATCAAAACAGGGCAACCTTTTTTGGTCACAATTTCCGAAGCCTGTTCCAGGCGTTCAGATTGTAGGTACAGTGCAAAGAGATGTGAGCAGAAAAAAAAAACGAGGGGGTGGGGGGGAGGGGCGAGGTGTGTGAGCGAGGGAACTGGAAGTTCCATACACTCTCCGTCTCCCTCTTTTCCTCCTTTTTTTTTCTCGCTCTCTTCTTTCGCGCCGCACTCCACTATCGAAACGCCTGGCACAAACTACAATTTCGGTCGAGACGCTTCAGCTCCTCCTCCACAAGTGGAAACGCTTCTTTTTGACTGGTTTTGATCTTGACTGACCAAAGCCAGCTTGCACGCGCAGAATATGTCCTATATTGCAGCACGCTGCAAAAGACCGGACATCGTTTGTCCGCCTGAAATAAAAGAAACCATAGGACGAGGAAAAAGACCTCAGCGAGCGACCTAACCAAAAATTTCCATTCTATTTTCCGAAATTACTTCTTTCCATCTCACTCGGTTTCACTGGGAAGAAGTGTTGTTTACCATTTACAAAAAGTTTAACGAAAATCCAGTAGGAAAGTCAATGGGACACTGGTTTTCGTGTCGTTCCAGTGAAAAATTTACGGGAGCAACAGACCATCTGAAAAGGTAGTCCTGTCATTTCTGGACTGAATGTTCCAAACAGATATCAGTGTTTGATTTGTTGAACCATTTTAAAACACCACTTTCAGGCTTTCGCGCGCGGAATTGATTTGTGCAACTAAGTGGTAAACGCGATTCCACAATGAAATTTACTGGTCCTGAATTTCTCTTATCACAGTTTGCCCAAGCCGTTTTGTACATGTCAATGATAAACAACTCAAGAAATGGGTCGAAACGTAAATGGATCTCTTCTGTAAAACGGATTGCATGAGAATTATCTATAGAGCAATTCTAAATTCCATTTGATATAAGATCCTGCATTTAAAGATGGACTTCATTCCAATAGCAAAGACTTTTCCTGAGATTCAATATTCTGAGACGAAGTAAAGACACGTTTTTTATATATTACCATTCCATTTTTTATTATTAATAGTATATTCTATTCGTACAATCACACAAAAAAGACACTTTATAAGTGTGGTTCTTACTCAACACAACAATCATTTTCCCGTATTTGTCCCTTCTTTGCATCTAATACTTACAAACTAACAGTACATAGATTAGGAAGTATAATGTCTTTATAAATTATTATATAACGTATACATTTACAATAATAGTCATACAACTTTATCCCTCCTTCACAAAATAACAGTTTATATTGATCCCTCTCTAACACCGAATATCACAAAATAACGATACGGATAAGATTCTTAAAGAAATTATTAGAAAGCTTGTATGATTTATAATAGAGTTACAGAGTAATCCCTTTCTTTCATGGAATACCACAAAATATTACTGCCTACAAGTTTTCTCGACTAAATGAAAATTCTAGTTGCATCTACCCTTTTCTTACATCAGAACAGTACATTCAAATTTTCATTTCTATATAAATTATTCTGATAAGGAGTTGTTACAATTATCTACCTTATATCTGCACGAATGACAGAATAAGTTACATTCAAATTGTCTGAAGAAAATATTGTAGTAATTTGCATTAATCTTTTTAAGGACATACTTTCAAAAAAGATAAAAGTCAGAATATCACAAAAAAATTGTGCGTCTTTCGAAACGAGTCTAGATAGAGACTGTATTAACTGTAATAAGGACTGTAACGATAAACGGCAATTAAAAGTTAGAAAAAAGACAGAAGTTAAACCGAAACCAACACGTGATTTCCTATTCCGTGCTTCGAGTTGTGTTTTCAGCAGTGTCGGCGTTTTTCATGGTTGGTCTTGGTTTAAAAAGACTGTGAAATAACCAACAGTTTTATATTTGAGATTAAAAGCTGGTTTCTCAGTAGAGAATCATCCGGAATTTCCTCGATTACTTTGATTTTTGGAGGACTATCGAGGCAAACCCGACCAGTTCTATGGAAACCAACCTATATATACTGTATATGTTCAGTTCTTTTGATTAAGCGGAGCTGACTGAGATGGCCCCAATCGCCCGGATCCAGCGTCCGGCGTCGCATTAGAAGTGTTTCGTCCGATGTGCCCATCTCGATTGTCTGAACATATTCTGACACAACACGGGCGATTGGGACTGTCCAGACCATTATGTGGATGGAAGCCGGGCTTAACCAGATTTCAATTTTACTTTTACGAGGCACGCTCTAGCGCTCTAGCTCTCAATCACTTAGAATTCTATTTCCAGAGGTTTGAGGAAAAATTCTTACTCAAACCATATCACCCATACCCCACCCTCTCAATAGTCAAATGGTCAACCCCTACATAATATGTCTAAAATGTCTAAAACCAGCGTTTATATTATAAGAAAAAAACGAAAGGGATATATTTTGACGATAAAAAACACATAACGGATACTACAAGTAATATTCTGAAAGAACCAAAATTGTTATTAAATAAAAGGCGGTAAATTTAATCAAACATTTTTAAAAAGACCGCCGGATTTTAAGATTAAATAAGGATGCAAGAGAGGAATAAACTAGAACAGATCTAGAAATGATTATTATAGAATAAAAAACTTGTCTATCAGAAATATAAATCCATAAAAAGAAAAAAACAATTATCGATACGTAGCTAGTTAGAGAGGGATATTTCAAAGCAAGAATAATGAGGAATAAAAAGAACGAAATTATAGAACTACAAAAGCACTTTGCTTTTGATAAAAATTTTGAGAATCTTTGAACATACCCATCCCATGACAATGTTCTTTCTCTTTTTCGTGTTCTTGCTAGGTCGATGTTCGATCATGTGCTCGCTGCAGTGTCGTTGTTGTTTTTGATTGGGAGGTCCCTGTACCTCTATTTCATTGAACTGATTTTTATTGCCTTCATCTTCTGAATCCCATACATCATCTGGCTCTACCTTTTCCACCAGCGAACATAAGCTACTCACTTTCACTGAATTCAAATTGTGATCACGCTCTTCCGCACCGAACAGAATACTTAAATCAAATTCTTCTGGATCACATTTTTGACTGACTTCTTCTCTACAATGAAGCAACTGTAAGTGACGAACATCCTCTGAATCAAATTTCTTCTCATTATCTTCCTCTTTAGCAAAGTACATTTCCTCTTGGTCCTCGGTGATCTCATCGAGTTCTTCTTCCTCAATCTGCTCATCTTCGTCATCTGATCCATTATAAGATTCACTTTCTTCATCGTCACTTTCGCTGAACTGGAAGATGAGCATCGGGAGATCATCATCAGACTGGTCATGTTCTTCTTCCTCATCAGGCTCATCCTCATGATCGTATTCAGCAACAGATTTATATTCATCACTGCAGTCTGATTCCGAATCAGATTCGCTTCCTTCATAAACACTTTCAATGAATGAAGAGATCTCAGCGACAGAATTGTCTTGTTTTTCTCCATCACTATGCTCATCTTCGTCATCTGATTCATAATAAGATTCACTTTCTTCATTATCACTTTCGCTGAATGGAGTGACCATCATCGGGAGATCGTCATCAGACTGGTCATGTTCTTCTTCCTCATCAGACTCATCCCCGTCATCGAATTCGGCAACAGATTTACTTTCTTCACTGCAGTCTGATTTCGAATCGGATTCGCTTCCTTCATCACCAATAAAACTAAATGGAAAGATCTTATTGATAGAATGTTCTTGTTCTTCTCCTTCACTGCGCTCATCTTCATCATCAGATTCGGTTTCTTCATCACCACTGAAACTGAATGGAAAGATCTTATTGAGAGAATGGTCTTGTTTTTCTCTCTTATTGCGCTCATCTTCGTCATCGAATTCGGTTTCTTCATCACCACTGAAACTGAAAGGAAACATCTTATTGATAGAATGATCTTGTTCTTCTCCCTCACAGCGATCATCTTCGTCATCTGTCTCGCCTTCTTCATCTTCACTTTCGCTGAATGGGGAGATACTGGACAAGCAGGTGTTGTAGTCAAACTGTATTGTCGCTGCTGTGGGTTCGCCGATTGTCTCCAACGCTCTGGCAAATTTGTCAAAGTTGTATCTCGCAAGAATCTTCATTTGTTTCTTGTCGGAAAGAATGGCATTGTGATGCCAGCACTCTACCGCATTCTCATAAAACTTAAAAGTGTAACCATCAGGTAGACGAAAGGGAGTGCCTTTATATGTAGTGTAGAATTGCTTGTCTCGTAGATAGAATTGAAAAGGTGGCACCAACTCTGCCAGTATAGATTCCTTGTAAGCGACGTAGGGTCCACAATAGCAGATTATAAGCGTCTTGGTGAGTCGCACACCCCATGTCATTTCTTGACGAATTTTTCTGATTTTGACATATTTTTCTGCTGTGCGCCTTCGCTCAGCAATCTGAATAATTTCGCCGTATTTCTCATTTTCTGTTTCGATAAGATTACCAAATTCACTCAATTCCCACTCGGACTTGTCGTACGCCATGTTTAGGATATCTTTCCGAAATGAATGAACTTGTTTTTCATTATTTTGTCATCTCATTCGAAATGTCGTCAGAAAGACTCCACGGTTGCTTTTAATGGCAGCACGCGCATAAATCCTTCCCAGTGAGCAAACAAACTCACCTTCTTGTTAAACTATAACGTTTGACATTACTCTGGTATCATATGAAAAGTAAAATCCTGAACAAAATCTCGCAAAAAGAAGCACAAATACTGAAAAACATATTGTTCCGGACAGTAAGGAATAGCTCGTGCCGCATAACATCATGCGCGTGCCTTAGTGACAGTTGGAATTGTTTTAGTGTTGTCATCTGCGGAATGACGTGTGCTTCGCTTTCTTGGCAGTTCAAAAGAGAGAAGTAAGTCATTTTTAGGGTAACATATTTTTCCATCTTAAAGAGCAATGTTAACTTAGGACAAAGCCCTGTAATAAGTCTGAACTTATATCGAATGGACCTTGTCTCGGTTTTCTTCTTGCATCTATCTGATTGGTTCAAAAATATTTCGAAAATGAAGACGGGAATTTGCCCCTAAAATTATGTTACCTGAACTTGTCAGATCAACCAAAAAGAAACTTTTATTGGTAAGAAACTCTTATGCGGCAACGAAAGTTTCAAAGGGAAAATACGCGATGAGTCAATAGGGGGCCGGGGTTATGCAGCTACGAAGATGACAGCAGCAAAAATGCGGTCTTCAGTTTTAAAAACGTTTTCGCGATTAATCCACTCTCTCACCTCGATTTATTAAATACAGGGAAGAGGCAAATTTTCTGAGAACAGAATGCTTAATGAAATAGCAACGAGTAAATTTCACCTCGGAGTCGTTTAGTGACGGAAGAGTCGAAAAAAGTTTGATATGCATTGTTGTATTACTTCTTAATTCTTATTTTGCTTTCTTTCCCGTTGAGGTCGTGGTTGCTTAAGCACTGTTAAACCTCTGAGAATGATATCGTAGGACAATCAGTTAAATGTACTCGTCTCATTAACGTATAAACATACTGCCACACCTGTATTGGGCATAACATACTGAGAAAAGGGTCACTGAAGCAAGTCAACCACAATCAAAACTAAAGCTATGACGTCACACCTAAACTAGAATCTGCTTCGACAGAATTTGGCTCGATCACCAGGCCTTATTCGGGAAAGCAGCCCGTGCTCTTTCCCCGTTTGCTAACAGCACATTTGTTTAAAAGTAAACAACTTTTAGAATTTTAGGAATGAGCAAAAATGTCCCCCTAAAATGACCATTCAATTGGAAATTCTTTGACAGTACTTTCATGTTACGAGAGCAATGTCTGATCGCAAATTACAGACATTGGAGAGATTTAGAGTGACGTTTACCGCAAACGGCAAACGTCAATTGTACCACGTGACCAAACGCAAGTTTCCCCACAAAATCGGGGGTTTGTGTTCATTGCTTCTACCTCAAAATTAGTAGCTTCAAGTTAGTTTTGTTTGTAACAATCGGGATGGACTGTCTTTATCTGCTCATTTTCTATTTTGAGAAATTCTCAACGAAAGTTTTTCGGAAACGTCACACCAGAAACTCATAAGGGACTATGAGGGGTTTCTGGTCACACTAAATCTCTCTATTAGCGGATCTAGGGGAGAGGACCGGGGGGCCTGGGCTCCAACCTTAATTTAGACCTAACTTAAGTCCACAGGCCTGAGAGAAAATAACATTTTAAGAGCCGGGCCTCCTCTGTTCTTAGGGCGCTTTCCCAAAGTCAGAACTGGCAGTCCAGACCAGTTAATTTGAAAACGAATATTAGTTTTTTCTAAAAAGTTTTACTAAAATCCATCACATCCGTGCATACCATTTAGGAATAAACTGATCTGACTAAGGTCTGATTAATATTGGAATTCTCCTTACGACTTGACTGGTCTGGGCACCAGTTCTGACAAATCGTAAGAGCCTTTAGGCTCTAACCCCACCCTACCCCCACTGCAGAGAAAGCGGAAGGGAGGGTACACTGAATCCACCAGTGTAAGACGAAGTGGACTGGGGAGACCACCTGTTTATGATAATGCCAATGCTCAAACATCTAGTAAGTCAAACATTAGAATATTTTATTTTACTTCAAAGGAAAAATTATTTTACTTTTTAATATAGATGCGAGGAAGAATGACTATCTACAGTGTATGTACAGACTAATATGCTTTTACTGCAGGAATAAGTTCTTGTTATCAATAACTACAAACAATTTAAAAGATTGTATATTACAGTAGGATTCTATGAGGGTCTCAATGGGGTTAACCGATAGGCGTAAAACGGCCAAAAATTTAGTCGATAGCCGTAAAAATTGAAGAACTTTAACCGTTAGCCGTAAATAAGGTAAGAAAGAGTTAACCGTAAAATAAATTGTTCCTTAGATTTGTTAATTTTAAGGATAGAGGCACATACCTCAGGCTCCTGTTAACACCTCGGCGATAATTAATTTGAAGGATCTGTCAGTATATAGCTTCTGCTGCTTTGAAATAATACATTACATTTTCATAATATTTGCTTTATGCTGCCAGTACAGCAGGACTATTACCTATCTGACGCGAATTATCAAACGGATAACCCGTCTCACACGAATAATCCGTCTCTAGTGTAAAAACAGCCATTTCTGTTAAAAATGAATGTCGCGCGCCGGCCTTACGTTGGGCGTTCGCGTGTCTGCTTTTGCTTTTTACAGAGATTATTTTAAATTGACTATTGACATTTTTGTGCGTATAATAATATTAGAAGTAAAATACTTTATAAAATTAAAAGTATGATCTATCAAATGTTAAAATTTTTCAAAAGAATAGCTTATTTCTTCCCGAGATGATCCAAAGACCTTTATTTTTCTCTTGAAGATAGAAAAAAAATTAGGTTTATTAATATTTAAGTCTTTGAAATAAAAGAAATTAATTTTTAACTTTTTTGTTAACCGTAACTGAAAAAAATTACCCGATAGCCGTAAAAGAGCCAAAATTTTAGCCGATAACCGTAAAAGCCACAGGCACCCCATTGAGACCCTCTTCTATGTACATGAGAAACCATAAGTGTAGCTCATGGAAATTTGATTGCAAGACTATTAAATCTCCTGATATCCAAGCAAACTGTAACAATATAATTTGGTAACTCCACAAGATTTTTCAAGTCGTGAAGTTTCAAAACCAATATCAAACACAAAGTGGGTAGCTTAAAGCCTCATCTTTTGCTTTAATTTGTAATTAATTCGGCTGTAAGGTGTCTGGATACCAGTTAAAACACTTAGCAAAATAAATTTTCAACAAAACGTGTTTATTTTTGTGGCACTTAGGTGATTTCCTTTCTTTTTCCATAAACCTTTTATTGAGTTGTAGTAAATACATCAAACAAGACAAACAAAATTCCGGAGGGCAAATGTGAATGCTATATGGGTATACATGTATGCATGGTACAAATGAATCCACACTAAAGGTCTTCAAAAACTCCTTAGTCTTAAATACCTTAATCTGTTATTAATGACGGCAAAGAACTGTACGAAGAAGCGTGCTGACGGTACGTGCGGTGTTGTCGTTTTGTTAATCTAAATCTATTGCTTTTTAGACGTTTTCGTTGCCCTTTCCGTCGTCGTTGCGCTGAGAGCCCGCCATATAACATACGTCTTGGTATATCCCGTTTGTGTGCGTATTAACAAAGGCTTTCACTGAAATTGAAATCGAAATGGAGTTCCGCGGTTTAGTGAATTGCTACCTGAATAGGCCCGTGCTTAGCTCTGTTAGCTCCTATTCGATGATTAATTGTCCCTGTGTTTAAAATATCTCAAAGGTGACTTATTGTAACATTTATTATTAGCAACATACAAGACAGGTTGACTGCTGTTCCTTTCTTCTAGGGTAACTGAAGCTTAAAATTTTTATATAAGCCTCTCCTCATATAGTCTCCTGGATGGCTAAGTAGTAAAAGAAACAAACGCAACACAAAATTAGTCAGAACGAAAAGTTGTCAAGTTATGATGTTGCAGCCTAATCAATTATTTTAGTGTGTAGACTGCGCATTTACAGCACTGGGAAAAAATAGACGTTTTTAACTGTCTGTTAACATGAAATAACACTAGCATTTTACAACGGCTCCTTAATATACGGAGTTATTTTTGCATACTCTGTAAGAAATTGACTGAACTAGTGACAGGCAATCCGGAGGCCTCGAGTTAAATTCCCACCCTAGTCGCGAGTTGAAATTCAAAAAATCGAAATCACTTTTTTTGCCCGCTTCGGACTGTAGTGATTCTTAACCTTGTTATATTTCATTTGAATTATTTGTTTCACACATTTGGTCTGGCCCATAAGCTTTTGTGTTGTAAATACTCCGCAGGGTAACAAGACTAACAAGATACACCTATTTCATACACAGTAAGTATTCTGTCCTTACGCCTTTGGTATACTTATAGAAAAGGCCGATTTGAAATCAGTATAAGTTATCAAAAACGGAAGTGAATGACCTATACTTACTGTTCGTTCGTCATGTTCCTGAGGGCGTTGACGGTAAGTAATATGCCCAATATCAGCAGGTCTGTATACTGTTCTTTGTTCTGTTCTGTCCGTTTCTCCAGCCAGATGGAAGGCTCTTTGGTCGTCGGCAGCTCTCATCGTAGGGTAAGTCTTTATCACAAAGTACAAAAACAGATACATAATTGATAAATAGCTACGTCGTGCTAACCATTTTGGCATGTTTGTTGATTTGAGATCAAATAAAATACTTATTAATAATAAAACTGCCAAAATGAACTTTTTGAAAATGACTTGGTTACCCTTCTTTCGGCGTACGCATTCATAGGAATGTAGCCGATGGGATGTATTTCCATGCTGTTTCTTCGTAAGCCTCGCGAGGTATCTGCAACTCTTTGAACCAGAATTTGCTCTCCTGCGCCCATCTCAGTTGTTTGAACTATTCGTTTACTGGCGTTTATCAGAGATAAACAAAGTTTCATCACACAGTACACAAGTGCGCACATCATTATAAGTAATG